GATTTGTGAGCAGATACTGATGGTAATAACATAGAAACTGCATAGAAGTTGCCGTTACAACTATGTTTAGCATTGAAACCTGTTTTGTATCAGCCTCTGCCAGACTGCTGGGGCACTGGAAGAGCCCAAATGGTGCTAGTCTCATGGGTGCTTCAATGGCAGCTCCAGAGGAGATGCACAACAAAAATCTGGAGGAACCTCCCACCAGATTAATAGCACTGTGATGATGATGATGATCTCTTGGATCATTGCTCCTTAGCAAGTGTCCGTTTAAGTATTATAAGAGAAACTGCTCTTTTCTAAGATTGTTTAGCTTATTTTTTTGTAAATGCAGTAAAGTATTTAGTCATGATTGAAAAGAAAGAGTTAAAATGCTAATCCAACCTCCCTTGTTTTAAACAGGAACAGAAATTCTTGGCAAATCAGTTCGTATTATATTCTCTACATTAGGAGTTTGCATATTTTTTGCAATTGGCTACATGTTGCTGCCACTGTTTGCTTACTTCATCAGAGACTGGCGGATGCTGCTGCTGGCACTCACTGTCCCGGGGCTGTTCTGCATCCCGCTCTGGTGGTGAGTGCCCCCACGCCACGAGGCCACGCTCCCCACCTCCCCTCCCCGCCTGATGCTCTCCCACGCTGGGGGCCGGGCATTGACAGGGTGTTAGGGGGGGGGGGGTGGTAAAAAAAATGTCTCCTCTTTTTTTTTTTTTTTTTTCTGTTTGCCATGTGAGGAGGCTTTGCCTTGAGGTGGGAGTTGGGGGGATTTTTTGTTGGGGGTTTTTTTGCCAGTTTTAAGTCAAGTTAACTACCTGCAGAGCCTCGCTGGTGCTGGCCCTGTGCTTGAAGCCACTTTTTCGCCAGCTTTCCAGAGCAGCTTGGGAATTCTGTATTTGACTCCTAACTCTGGACACCGTTAACCACCTCTAGGTTTACCCCCGTAGTACCACTGGGCGATTCATTCTAACTTTTCTTCCTTGCTTTTTTCTTTAAGCCATTTGTAAATGCAGATTCACCTGCTGATTGGTACTAAAACCTCAGTGAAAGGCTGAGCCCGTTCACTCGGCACGCAGCAGCTGGCAGCTTATTGCACTTGATGTCATTAAGCAGTTCATTGCACTACATGCCGTTAAGCAGAGGTGTTTGCTGGCATAGCTCACCGGGCCAGGAGCTCACCATAGCTCTCCCATAGGCTCTGCGTGCCAATCTTAGTCTGTCCTCCCCAGGCTTTCCTTTGGCTGCTGGAGCAGGACTTTGATTTGTGAGCTCCTTCAGCCCACAGTAACTCTGTCTGGCTAAGCCAGAGGTTGGCTCTTCCCTACCCTGCTCCTCTGAGCCATCCCACGCTGTCTTCTTGGTGGCTGACTCTATGTTTTCTTTCATCTTTCCATTGCATTCACCCACCTCTGCTCTAATGCACTGGTGGACAGGTAAGTGCACCCTCACTTGCCCATGGATGCTCTGCCCTGGGGGACTGAAAAAAAAACAGTTTAGGAAAACTCCCTGCTCTTCTCAGCTGGACAGAAGCATTGAAGAAGGGCAGATATCCTTGTTCCATTGCTGCCTTGGTCATCTGTTGTTTTCTGAAGAGATAGGTGTTTAGAAAATAGGAAGGACAAGGCAAGGTATCACTCACACTCTTAAAATAAGGATAATTTGCATTATCCTTATTTCCTTTCCTTTCATATTAGTCTTATCTGGGGAACTCCTTTCTTCCTATTATCTTGAAACAGTTATACTGATGAGATTAATAACTTTTATCACAATTAAGTGATTTAGACCCACTCTTGTGTAGTCTAAAAGACCTCCTACAGGTCTCAGTCTTGTCAGAAGTCTCTGCTGATGGTTTTGTTTTTTTTTTTTTATCTTAGTCTTCAAACCTTTAAAATGGTTTTCAGCTCCACCTCTGCTATCATCTGACTTTAAAGATAGTCTGATTCTATTTAAGGGTTAATTTGCTTATTTAACTTGAAATGTTTCAAACTCCTTCAACACAGTGGCATTTCCCTCTGCACGAAGCAGCTGCTCTTTGGGGAGGCTGGTTTTGGGTGGAAGCCTCTCAGATGTCTGCTCTAGAACAGGCACTGTGAGGCACATGAAATTTGTCCCCAAGGCATGGCTTCGGAGTCCTGCTTTGAAATGTATTTGGTGGGAATTTCGATGCTTTTCAAGAGCATACATCGTAAAGCATGCCAAAAATTTCCACGGATAGCACTTCCAGTCTGGGGCTAATGTGGTGGTAGATGGGGATCAAAGTGCACTGGCAAAGCTCTGCCGAGGCAGGTTGGTATTAGCTGGCACTTGGGCTTTTGAACCACTGCTTCCACGGGCGATGTGACTTGCACATCCCACTGCTCCATGCCATAGTTGCTCTTTTATTCATTCCTCTTCCAAATTCTCCAGAAGGTTCCCAGCATTGTCTCTGCAGTCTTGCATTCTTCAGCTTGCCCACAAAGAAGAGCAGTGGAGACAGCTCACCTCACAGAAATTCACATTAGTGGTTGAACGATCTGATATAAATCATCTGACGCTCAAAACCATTGATGTGGCTTTGGGTCAGTCCTTTAGGGAGTTCATCAGAAAAGGAGTGTCTGACCTGCTTTTTTCCAAGGAGAGGAAAAAAATGCTTCTGGCTAAAGGGAGGAAGGTAGCATCTGTTAAGATCAAAGGATTTAGTTAAGGAAAGGTGAGATCTTCTGTCCTGCGTTTGGTGTTAATTCACTCAACGCATGCCTGGAATTGATTAGAAAATGTCATCAACTGCAAGGAGACACTGCCACTGTCCTCTGCCTGGGAGAGCCTGCCTCAGAGTTGTGGTAAAATTGTGAGGTTTGTATAGAAGATTCCTATGTCACAGAGCCTTTAAATATACCCTGGACATATTTAAAGCATTTCCACATCGTGTGCAGTTTCCTAAGAATATTTTTGCTCAACACTGGTTAAGCTACCCCCATCTTTGCTGTCTATCGGGTGACATCTGTTTTCTTCTGGTGGACATCAATTATTCCTTAAAAAACAACCACCCAGGACAAGGGACCAAGTGTGCATCTACTTCAGCACGAGAATAAACACGTCCCATGTATTTGAATTCTCCCACTGATCCCAGTGGGACAAATCCATGAATTACGTTGCCCATATGCTTCTGTGCTGACTGGCTTCTGCTGCAAGCAATCTGTGAGATGAGAGCGTAACTCATAAAAATGATACATGTGTTTTTAATAACTTTTTACTTTTGTGAAAACGTTGAGTCATTTATTCTGAAACTTATTACAGGATCATTCCTGAATCCCCTCGGTGGCTGATCTCCCAGGGAAGATATAAGGAGGCAGAAGTTATTATCCGAAAGGCTGCAAAAATAAATGGCGTTCCAGCCCCAGCCGTGCTTTTCGACACCGCGGAGGTATGTTTCATACGTCCCAGTACTTTACCTCACCAGCAGTTTCCCCCTTTGGCCAGTTGACTTGTTGGGAAATGCCAGCAGAGAAATGGTTTGCACCAGCAGCTCTTAGAGGCTGGCAGTGACTGCTGGCGTGAGGTAAGTGCTGAGTTAGCGAGTTCAAAATGAGAAGCCAGAGGGGGTTTTGTTTGTTTGGGGTTTTTTTATGGTAAAAATTCTCTTCCTCGGCAGTGGTTGGTTGTGGTTTTCAGAGCAAGGGTGACCCAGATTGCTTCATCCTTCGGGCACTGAGAAGACCTGAGGAAGATGCATTTGTCCCCATTTCAGCTTGGCGCAGTATTAGCGGTTTGCAGTTTAACAGCAGCCCTTCGCGGGGGGCTGCGCAGGGGACCCTGAATCGACACCCACGTGTGCCGGGGCTGCATGGAGCCCCAAGGGACTCCTCAGGTTGCACAAACCAAGTCAAAGCCCCTGAGTGTTAAAGGGCACTTGAAAAGCGTGACTGTAGCAAAGGCAGTGAAGAACAATAAGCTCTTCCGCAGGCCTTTTTTTTCTCATATTTCAAATTCATTGGTTAAAAGGAGAAAGCCTAACACAAACCTAGTCCCCCAGCAAGCCGGGGAGCAGCACAGCCGCAGCGGAACAGCTGGTTCCTGTGCTCATCTCCCCCTCTAGTGGCTCTGCCCTCTCCGGAGCTCCTGCTG